ACCCCTTTTTATCCCTTGAGAATCTCTCTGGGCTCCTTCAGCATCTTAACATTCATTTTTATCATAAATACTTATCTCCAAAAGACATGATAATTTGTCTGTTTCACAGAGATTGCCATTGTAGAATGATTATTAGAGACTTATCAGCTATTTTTATCTTCCTTTAACCATTGAATATATTTCCTCATGTCAGAAAGCTAAAAATGTCATGCGCTTCCTTATATTCAGAAATTAAATTAAACACAGAAAATCAAGCCAGGGAAATAGGAGAGAAATGACATTCCTGTCATTATAGCAGTATTATCTGCTAAAGCCCCTTAGCAATTGCTTTCATTTGGAACTACTCAGTTCTGGGACACCATTATAGCATTCTCCTTAATTGTTTCTGCTTATTACCTAAAACTTGTTTGATAGCTGAATGTTTCAGTTTCCTGACAGCTAATAATAAGAATTAGAAAAGAAAGGGCTGGCATCGTGCTCAGAAAACCTTGTGGAACAGTGAAGTCTCCCATGGTGAATACAGACTCTGCTGCTGGGAGACTTCAGAGTGCCTAAGTGTATCGGAGGGAAAAAGAAACTACAGGGATCTCTATTAGGGCCTTGGAGTGAACAAAGATGAAGAGTGAGATGATTCAGAAATGACCAGAATGAAGATTGTGTGGTGGGGAATGAATGTGGGAAGTGAGGAATACAGCAGAAGATAAACTCAAAACCTGATACATCTGTTTGCATTTTGGGGGTATGAGATATTCCAGTTTTGGGGAAAAGGATCTGCAGTAATGTGAATGAAAACAGCCTATGAAGGTGGCAGAGGAGAGGATATCTGCAGAGAACTAGAGGGCTTGTAGAAGTTAAGGGCTGCCTCCATCTATTAAGTAGCCAGGTAGCATAAGCACACACACAGAATAGAAAAAAAGAAGGCAAATAATTGCATGAGCAAACTCAGGACCTTTTCCTTTCTTTCATCTGAGCCCATATTTCTGGGTTTCTGACATGGAAAAGGCCAGGACGTATGTGTCCAGAGAACTGAAGTGCTTGGTAACAAAGAGTCTGTCATGGAATCACTGTGTGTTCAATTAACTTGGTGTCCTGGATTCAGCAGTAGCAGTCATTTTTCTCCTTCTCGGTAGCTGGTGCAGTGCTGTGTTTTGACTTTCGGCTTGGGAACAGAGCTGATAACAATGATGTTTTGGTTTGGCCAAGGACTTTGTGAGCCTCATGCGCTGCCAGGGAGGGGAAGCTGGGAGGAAGCAGAGACAGGACACCTGACCCAAACTGACCAAAGAGGTATTCCATACCACAGCACGTCGTGCCCAGGATGTAACTGGGAGTTACCCGGAAGGGCTGGTAGACTGCAGGGTTGGAGGAGGTATCGGTGTGCTTGGTCAGCCTGGGGGGGGCAAGTTATCGGTTGGCTGGTGGTGAGGTGTTGTATTCTCTTCCCTTGTTATTTCCTTTATCATTGTTATTATTGGTGGTAGCAGTAGTGGTTTCTGTTATACCTTAGTTACTAAACTGTTCTTATCTCAGCCCATGGGAGTTGCATTCTTTTCGATTCTCCTCTCTGTCCCTCTGGGAGTAGGGGGAGGGAAAGAAAGGGGGGAGTGAGTGAACGAGTTGCCTGACTGGGTTTAAACCACACTTGGCTTATAAGGAAATGCTGAATGCTTGATTTCCCTGAAAATGGTTGTCAAGTGTATAATTTTTGAGCATCTTTCAAATAGTGATGGGTTTGTTCTAAATGATACACAACTGGCATGTTTCACCAATACTTCAATGCAAAGTTAAGATTTTTTCCTGCCTCTGTATGTGTTTGTTGTCTTATTTGTTAAACCAAAGAGATTTCTGGAAAGATAGGTTAGAACAATCATTTCCACTTTCAAAGTTTCAGTGGGAGGATTAGCTAAGGGAGGGGACTAAATGTCTGGTGGGCAAAGTTGTAAACTGCATAGATCTGTAGTCATAATAATGTATTGATTTGTATATTATGGCTGCCATACAAGTTTTATGGGGGTAGTGGTAGGGTAGTGTTTTGTCCCTTTTGCCAACATTTGTCATCCAACAGAGCAGGGAGACAAAATCCAAGTTCAGAAGTATCTCAATCTTAATGTGTTTCATGCATCTTCCAAACTGGAAAAATAATTCAGTTCCTTGAGGTACATGCTTTGGGGTTTGAAGCCTTCTTTAAAAAGGGTAAATTTGGAAGGCTTTCTGAATAACATTTTTACTTATAAAGAATAAATCACTACCTTCTGTCAATCATGTGTGTGGTACTGACTGTTACCCAGCTCTGTCAAGATCACCAGCTTGGATAGCATATTTCTATTGACATTTGAGTGACCTTTCTTTTAAACATCTTTGAGTTGGGCTAATGAAATTGAACATTCAAAGTTCCAGCAATACCTAATGAAAACTGCATTTGCAGCCCCTTTTCAAAACTAGGCTCTTAACTGGATAGGCAGGTTGCATTTATCATATGATGGCCTATTCAGAGTCAAAATATTTACTTATCTTTTGTAAATTCACAATATCTCATTTGGAGTTGGTATCACTCCGTTTTTATAATATGCAGACAATACTGAAATCTTTCCTGTGAATCTGTGCATGGAGTGATGGAAAAACCCAAGTAAATGGAGGTTTTTATCTAAACATGAAAAAGAGGACATATATGCAATAAATTCAGGTTGGAGTGTGATGGGTGAGAGGCTGCGGTTCTGCAAGGAGGTTTAGATTGTTATTAGCAAAAACCTGCTAATCTTCATGAGAAGAAAATTATTACAGGGAGGGATTTTGGAGACTGCAAGAATGGCAGTTTCATCTGGGCTGCTTTTAAAATCCTGTTGGCAAGGAGATAGCCATCAAGGATTTCACCTTAGCTTCTTCTCCAGCATTCCTAATCTGTTACTTTATGAAGGGGATTTGATGCAACAATATACTTTCCGTCTGTATTGCAAGCTGCTGAGTTTGAGTCTTTATTCTTTGGCATGAGAAAAATGCTGTCTCAGCTCTCCCGTCACAGTTGTTTTGCCTCTCTTTGTAAAAAAGAGAGGTTAGAGAGGTCTACTGAGAAGGTTTCACAATAAGATAGTGGCAAGAGTTATATTACTCACAGAAGCAGCAGCATGAGGGGAAAAGAAAAGATAGAGATTAAACTTTTCTCTGTCCGTTCAGAATAACCTTAGCAAACCCAAATCTGGGTACTTTTTCAGTAAAGCATGGATCACAGGAATTCATTGCCCTTTGCAGGTCACTGACATCCTGAAAGGCAGCCAGAGGTAGAGGCATGATGTGAGAACAGAGTTTGAGAGTTGAAGTGCAAAGTTACCTGTTAAAAAAAAAGGAAAGGAGGTATGTGCTGTCCTACTCTCTGCTGATTTTGTGTCAGGGACTTCACAAATAGCAATAGCTATTCCTTCAAATGTATATGTCCTGTAGGAGTAAACATATGCAAAAAAATAAAGATGGTTGAGTAATAGAAAAGTGACTAGGAACACTTGTAGCTGAGAACTGGTTAAAATCAGGACTCTTTCAGTTCTAAATTGGGTGGGTTTATGGCAAAATAGAAATGGGGGGTTCTTGTTATCTTTTGTTAAAATATTTATTGGTTTTGCTGAATTCAAAATGTCTACATGAGTCTGAAAATATTGAATTGTGGTTTAAATATGTTCCCTTCAGGTGCTGAACAAATCTAAATGGCTACTTATGGTTAATTTGCATTCATTCTAAACTTGTTCTGAGCTATCTGCTCTTGAATAGATAAACAGTAATTTAATTATGTATGCAATTCTTGACAACTTACAATTTTATTACAACTAATTCCTGCCCACATACTTCCTGCCCAAAAGTGTCTGCTTCTGGATTGTGATGCATTAATAGTTTTGGTAGAATGGCCTTGAATATGGCATTCAACATATATGGTCTCAAATAATGGTCACATTTGTTAGTCTTTGCAGTCTTTATATTCTCCCCTTCTCTGTTGGCTCCGCCCAAAAAAAACCTGGAATGTTATTATTTTGAATATAATTTCAACAATAGCCAATAGAGCTTGTCCCATGTTATGCCATTGTGCTTCTTTTTGACCTTATTACACAAGAACAAGCATTACATAGAATTTATGCTAGGTAATTGATATTGCTGTCTGCTACTGTGTTAGAGTGTGCTGGAAAGCAAGTCTTTGCAAAATGAACTTAAGAGTTTAGAGGTGGTCATTCTGGCAAAATGTATGGCTTTACATTCAAGGAAGATTCCTGAATCCAGGATAAAAAAAAGTGAAATAAAATGAAATCTGGGGACCTTTTCCCTACCTGTGAATCATTAAGTATAGAAGGCAGACTTCTGTTAGAAAGCCTGAGTACACATTATAAATAAATATTACCCTGAACAGTCATAAATAACACTATTAGCTTTTAATGCATAATTAACATTGAGGAGTAGCTAGGAACATGGCTGAATAATTATGCCACATTTTAAGACTATTTCTGTCTGCTTCAGCCACACAGTCAAGCAGTTAAATATGGCCAGTTCTTTGGAGTTTGGCACAGTAATTTTTAGTTCCAAATTCCCAGCGAGCTCTTTAAAAATCTAATTAGCAACAACCATTAGTGTTGGCTTAATCCTCTGCTTTAAATGCTAAGTAAGCATCATGTTTTTGTAGGGTGAAGTCCTTCAGTGTCTCAGAATGCTACCTACAATGGTTTGTTTTCCTTTTCCTCCTGAACCAGAGCAACTTAGTGGTGTGAGTGGCTGAATACAGTGTTGGTAACTCTCAGGTGCCAAACTACTTTCATTCCCTGATTGATTGTGACCAGGAAACACGATACTGCAGTAACAGCTGAAAGCCCTCACAAGCTCACATATTCAGTGCAGACCTGTATTAAGTGGCTTGCTTAGAATAAATACACAGAAGAGAACAATTAGATGAGGCTGCCCATAAGAAATTTGACTGAAGTTAGGTGAGAAAACTTGTCTGAGAGTTTAGACAATACAGTTATTTTCATAGAATCACAGACTGGTTTGGGTTGGAAGGGACCTTAAAGCTCATTTCATTCAGTTCCAAACCCCTGCCATGGGCAGGGACACCTTCCACTAGACGAGGCTGCTCCAAGCCCTGTACAACCTGGCCTTGAACACTGCCAGGGATGTTTTCTTTAAATTAATATGTATAAATTTAGAAGCTTTAGTGTACATTTGCTTCCCCATTTACAGTGTTAATTTGTGTAAATTTCGTGGAGTCGACCTAATTTAGTATTGCAGGATTCTTAGAGATTCTTTCCAGAGGTTTCAGAAAAAGCAGAAGAGAGAGGTGTAGCATTATGTATGTCTTCACAATTATTTGATTCAAGATCTATGCAACAAATCAAATGTTGCATGCACTGGAGGATGACAGTTGTACACTGAACTGTATGTAAAGCCAATTTTATGCTCAACAAATTGCATTTTGTCAATACTTTAGAAGTAGCTGTTATGATTTGTATTACATACATATATTACTGGTATATTTTACATTGAGTTTGCAAATTGTGCACAAATTAAGCAGCATAAGACCATGGATACCAGTGTAGGTCTACAACACAGGAAATATTTCAGATCCTAATTATTTTATTTTTTAAGTTTGGGTTTTTTTTGTTTGTTTTTTTTTTTTTTCTGGTGAAGTTAAAAAGGATATAGAAAGTAAGTCTCAATACTAAATAAAAGTATAATATTTCCAAGGCTACTTAGGACTTGTTCCCACCTGTGTTTTCTGGATATAGTGTTATTAGAAGCAGTTATCTTCTATTTCTTAGTGGCTTACTCTTTAGTGACACAAAGTGTTTTCTATTTGTGAGGCTTTAGATTTACCTCAAATAACAATTGTCTATTTTGATGATCTCTGGTTCTTAATTGAGGAGTTGATTTCCAAAAGACTTAGATCTTATTCTGATATAACTTTATGTAGGATTTTGTAGGTATGAGTATATATATATATATATATATATATATAATTATTTTAGAATTTATTCCACTCAAATCACTATCAAATGTGCTTCCAAGGTTGTCAGCTTTTGGTATGCATTTATATTTGTTATGTGTAACAAGTGTCGCTGAGTCCTTAAAAATGGTCATGATACATCATCATTCTTAATGTAGTATTACAGGGGTTTATTCGATGTGTATCCCTACTACATAGTTGAACTTTACATATTCATGTAATAACTGTTGGACATATCTGGGTTGTAGTGAAGAGTTAGTTAACTTATTTTTCCAAGTATCTTCAAAGCAATATTTTTTGACGAATGTATATTATTTTTACAGTAGATCCTTGACTATAAGCTTTCTCATGCTTCTTGAAAAAGTTTAAATTATCTTTCTTATATACTCAGAAGTTGAATTTACAGGCTGACGTGCCATTTCCTCACAAGGCAAAACTTCACCAGTTAAACACTTAGTCTGATGATCGCTTCATAAATGCACCCACAACTTAGTTCTCTCTCCAAATGCTGTTGTGTAGCTTGTTTTAAGGGCTTCTCCTCTCTCCTTCAGATGAAAAATAAAGGATAACTTATTTGGTGTTCCTCTGTCTCATTACTTATACTATGCAAAAATTCCAGACAGAGATTATTCCTTACATCCTGTTTCACCATAGTTTTTCCCAGACTCTTAATGCTGCTTAGTCTGCAACCATATTATTTTGTATTTTAGGAGGAGGAGATTGGGTACCTTGACAGTACCAGGGTGAATTCCAAATAGGAGAATGAATTGCCCCTTTTATTTTTTACTAAGTGAATGAATCTTTCTGAAGACAAATAAATATCATCAATGTTTATAACCTGACTGCAGCAGAAAGTATTCTGAGAGTAGCAGCTATCCAGCACTTACTGGCACTTAGGACCTGCAATTTTACAGCTGGTGATTCCCTCTGTTCTGGTCCAAAATAAAAACTTCCCTTCAGGAGTTCTTTTCTGAAAGAGTTAGTATACCGAGTTCATGACCATTTTTAAAAGTATGTATTTTCCCTGATTGCTCCATTACTTCTATCCCAGCCGTTTTGGTTTGAACATGGAAAAGGTGCTTGAACACTCACCCTATTCTTCCTTGAATGTGGTAGCTTATGTTTTTCTCACTGCAGCCTTGTGTAGCTGGAGAGGAGGGTGATGTGTTTGGCTGAATTACTATCTGATCTGGTGGCTCTCAGATTTTCTAGCTAGGAGTTCTCAATTTTTCCCCCCATTTCTCTTAATTACATCGCTTAATCTCTTTATAGTACATTTTTCCCTTTTCCTTGCTTTGTTTATCCACACAGGTGATGGCAATCACTTCAGCAGGGACGCTGCAGACATAATATATCCCAAATTCATTATGGAAAGCTGTGGCAGTGGCCTTGAAAGGCACCTACTTAATTTCTGTTCCCTGTTCCAAGGGAGCTTGCATGCACGATCCAAACAATTTTCAGTGCTGTACAGCTCTGTTCGCTAATGCAACCCAATAACTGGTATTACTGTCCTGAATTAATCCTTGCTGGAAATAGCTCCTTTGCTTCCAGTAGAGCTATTTTAGGGATGGATATAGGTATCTACCTTGTTAAATTACGCTCCTTTCTGTTCCTTGATTTCCTTATTTCCCACGGTGTGAAACCTATCGTCTCATCTCTTGGGTCAGCATTTTACTTTCAGTGTGAAATACAAGTCCTGGCTTCAAGACAGTGACAAACTTTTGGAAGCGATTCTATTATATTAATGGTTAATATTACATGTTAATTCAACCACTGAGTAGGACAATTTGAATACTAGGAGGTCTGCAGTTTTTGCCAGAATGTGTTTTTTTACAAGAAAGTGCCAGGATAATGTGTAAGATTGCATTTATTCTGTGCTGTACAGAATGCTGTCTAAAGACAGCAGAAAATCAGGAGGGGAAGTAGGGGAGATACATGTGGATTATGTAACTGACATCCAATGGACCTGGAAGAGTCTGAGTAGTAACAGGGAACTGGCTTATCGTACGTGATTTTGTCACTCTAAATTCTCGACTTTTCACAAAATCAGGGAGGGGTTTGCATTGGAAGGGACCTTAAACCTCATCCAGTTCCATCCCCCTGCCATGGGCAGGGACACCTTCCACTAGACTAGGTTGCTCCTGGCCTTGAACACTGCTGGGAATGGGGCAGCCACAGCTTCTCTGGGCAACCTGTGCCAGTGTCTCACCACCCTCATAGGGGAAAAGTTCTTCCTCTCTCCCCTTGGTCAGGTTAAAGCCATTCCCCCTTATCCTGCTCCTTACAGGTCCTTGTCAAAAGCCCCTCTCCAGATTTCCTGTCGGCCCCTTTAGATGCCAGTTCTACTAGTGATTTAGACTAGCTTCCTCACTGGTAAGACCTGAGGAGGGGGTTGCAGAGGTGCACAGGCTCTGGTGTCACTGTCTGCCTCAGCCCAGCTATCCCGCCCTGCCTCGTTGTTGGCAGCCATTGCAACCTCAGAAGGTAGGCCCAGCAGTGATCGGAGACAGTGTGGTGCCCAGAAGTGCCATGGCTTACAGAGATGATGCCATGGTGCCAGCATCTGCCGAGGGGGGCTGAGAACACCATAACATTGCTGAAACTTGGATGAAGTTTTCAAGTGAGTGAGTGCTGGGATGGCTGGAGTCACAATTCACAGCTGAGCTGAGGGAGGCATGAAGCATGACCCATCCCCTGCAGACATTTGAGAATTAGAGGTTTGGAACTGCTGTTTGCTGTGGCACTGGTTTGGGGTTTTTTTCTTATTTTCTTTGAATATTTTTGATGTGGACAGGCTGGATCAATGGGCTGTGGCCAGTGGTACAAGGTTTAACAAGGCAAAGTGCCAATTTGACTGCAGCAACCCCACACATTACAAGCTCGGGGATGGTGGCTGGAAAGCTGTTCATGGAAAAGGAGAAGGAGCTCTCCTGTACTATGCACTGGTGAGGTTGCACCTCTAATCCTGAATTCAGTTCTGAGCCACTCACTACAAGAGAGACATTGAGGTGCTGGAGCAGGTCCAGAAAAGGGCAATGGAGCTGGTGAAGGGCCTGGAGCACAAGTGTGATGAGGAACAGCTGAGGGAACTGGGGGTAAATGCCCAGGAGAGAGAGAAGGCTCAGGGGGGACCTTATTGCTCTCTACAACTACCTGAAAGGAGGCTGGAGCCAGGAGGTGGCTGGTCTCTGCTCCTAAGGAACAAGTGACAGGACAAGGGGAAATTGCCTCAAGCTGCTCCTGGGGAGGTTTAGACTGGAGATTAGGAACAATTTCTTCACAGCGAGGGTCATCAGGTGTTGGCACAGACTCCCCCAGGGCAGTGGTGGTGTCACCATCCCTGGAAGTATTCACAAAACTTGTAGATGAGGCCCTCAGTGACATGGTTTAATGGTGGCCTTGGCAGTGCCAAGGTTGATGATCTTAAAGGTCCTTTCCAACCTGGTTGATTCTATGATTCTATTGCTGCTATGGAAATGTGCTCTAAAAAGGAATGGTTATAATTATGAATCTGCACTTTTATCAGTCCTTTGAAGACTAGCAGGCTATTCAGTGTCCTTTCTGCATCTACCTCAAATGAATTTAAATTTGAGAAGATGAGGTTTTCTATTCTGTGCTTGAAATTGCCATAGATTAGAAGACTGCAGACTATCCAAACTGTTGAGATACCTTCTTTGGTGTCTGAGGCCTATCTTGTGGTTTTGAATTCTTTTTATGCACCCTGAACAATGTGTGAGACTGTGTTGTATGTTTGCAAATGTATTAAATGTTAAATCTAATATACATTAAAATAAAATTATTATATTTGGTATTAAAATATTTAATGTTAATGTAAATAGCTTAAAGCATTATTATGGAAGTGATACGGATCAAAGTTTTTTTTGAATGATCACATTTATAAAAGTTAGCTGAGACTGGTGGGATCTGTTTCTGGCTTCATTAGCAACAGTGATAGTCTATAGAAAACATAACTGAAGAACTTTGGCATGTGAAGCTGAAAAGAGAAACAGCAATTTCTGGTACACTGTCCCTGCGGATAAGCTTTTGTTCATATTTCAGGGTATGAAATGATCAGTACAAATTGCTGATGATAAGGCAGTGAAAAAATGTGTAAGGCAGTGTAAAAATTATGTAAGGCAGTGTGAAACATGCTGTATTTCCTTGCTTGGTTTTCCTGTGTTAATGACAATTTTTGAGGACTTAAGCTGGATGAATGCTCTGAAATGTCATTTCAGAGACATTGTCAGCAGTAGAGGCTGTGTAAGAATGAGACGAAGTGAACAGGCCAGGATCAGAAAAGTACTCAGAAGGAAAGGAAGAATGAAATAGCCAACTCCATTACACAGAGCAAATAAATGTGGTTGGTGTCCTCTTGCTTCCCACTGCCTAGGTAGTCAAAGGCTGTGAGGTGCAGAATATATATTCCTAAACAGGGTTCCAGGAAGATCTGGAAAACTGCTCACAGCAAAATATTAGTCTGTATCAAAACCAAAAGGCCTTATGGATAAGTACACTGGGGAATGATCAGCATAACTTTTGCAAAGTGAATCACAATACACAGACGTACTGAAATCATCTGAACAAAGAGTTGTGTGGTCAATAATTAAAATTAGCTTCATCTCCTAAAGGCTTGTGAGAAAGCTCTTAAGGAAGGATCCCATAATCAACTAAATGTAACATCTACAAATGTGTCTGAGTTATGAATGGCTAGAAGTTGGGAGACAGTGGGGGAAATATATGTGACTGCTCTTGACTTGTATTCATTCTGATGAGACTAACTTTTGGCTACTCTCTGAAATGAGCTGAAGTATTTGAGCTGAACCAGTATGACAAATTTTACATTCTTTTCTTATGGCAAAGTAGAAAATAGAAATAAAATGTCAGCTGACTTCTGTTTCTATAATGCTACATTCTGTTCTGAAAATGAGAAAATGAGTTTCTCTTCAGCATATGTGCTGAGTCCATTTTTTTTGCACTTTAGTTTCACACACAATAGTTTTTGGTATCTTGGGTTTAGGAGCTCCTCTAACAAACTGCTGTGTCTAACAATTGACCATGTTTTACTCATAATTTTTTGCCTCATGCCTAAAAGTATTTGATTTTAGTTTGTGAAAATAACTACTTCCTACATACAGATTGTTTATAATGCTATTTTTATTTTTTTTTTCTATTTTTATTTGTCTCTTGTTTAGCATCATGCTTTTTGTATCTGTCACACTATTGGAAAACTTCCTTTGAAGGTCTCAGCACTTTGAAAGCAGGAATGGGGAGAAGGAGGTCAGAGGTTTGATGAAGTACCTGCTGAGATCTTCCTGTTTAGAAACTGAGGGATACTGACCAAAAAAATGAGGCTTTCAAAAGGAGTTGTTTGTTCGTTTTTTTTTTTTTATCTAATGTGCAGTTGGTTTGCTTTTAGGGGTCAAGAAAACAACATGCAGCACTAATATCAGGTTTAGAACCACAGTGCTTTTCTTTAGCTATACTTCGTGTGTGAATTAAGGAATGGAAAAGTCACTTTGCAAAAGTGAAGTGTAACATGGACCACAACAGGACTGAGACCCATCTATCACCTCTGAACAGCTTTCATAGCAGATATTTGAAAACACTAGAACTTTCCTGCATGCTGTGTAAAAGCTGTTGTTGATCCCTGACCTGTTTTCCTTTTTGGAGTCATCATTTCAGATAATTTCAGACTCAGCAAGTCTGGTCACTTGCAATAAAATGCATGACAGATTAGATTAGTAAAAGTATTTTTTACCAGTGTTGTTAACTACAAAAGCAGCCTCTTCTTTTCCTTACCTTTTAATACATCATTATTTCTGTGATTGTTGTAATTCATAAATATCTGCTAATTTTAGCAGTTTTCAACTAATAACATGAAACAACCCATTGCAAATGAGCAATTTATGTGCTTCAGTTATTCGTTATTCACTGCTTGGGGTATGGTTTGTTGTTTGTTATTATCTTTGAATCGATGACCGAGAACTCTTTAATCCTGCAAATGATGAATGTGGTGATGTAGACTTATCTCTTGTTCTGATTTCCAGCTGTTTTATTTTTCACTTACTTAAATTCTTATTGCATACAGTTCTTTAAATGTAAATGTAAAAACCTGTAAGGGCATAGTTCTTTTACCAGTGGTTGATAAGTAGATAAGTGGCAGGGAAGATCACTGCTGACGAGAAAGAAATTGATAGAGTTATGAGTAGGAAAAGTGTGTACAGGACAACCCCTCTATCAAGGGGGTCCTACTCAGTGACATGATGCAAAAACTCATGTTTTGGACTATGGATACCTACTCTAACAGCTGAGTTTGTATTTTACGTGTAGTGGATTTACACAAGACCATGAAGTGCTGCTAAGTCATACTAAAGAATACACATACAAAACACTGAATTTGACCTTCTTTTCTTCTCCTTTCCCTGTCTTACCTTTTCTTCTCCCTGCTGCTCTTATTTAATATACATCTGTTAAGAGAATGAGAGTTAGGTTTACTTATCACTTCCTTGTTAACTAAATCTGTTAATTTACTTTCTCTGACATATGAAAAATGCAAGATCTGGTAAAATATCTGATGGGTTTAGAAGAGGGTTTATTTTTCCATTCTTCTGCTATCACTAAGGTACATAACACTGAGCACAGCTTCCATGGGCCTCTCGGAAGACTAATTTAAGGCATAACAGCTTAGTGGTGACATGACAGTTTTCATATACATTATTTTAAAGGCAAAATAATAAATCATTCCTCCTCATCTGTGGAGGAAAGATAGGAAATTGAGATCAGTATGGCATCATCAGATGTCTTCTTAGAAAAATCAGCAATTGTACAAAAAATGGAAACAAAAGTACATGACATTCAGAGGCAAAGTAGGGAAATGAGATCCAAACAAAATTGTCCTTAGCAATTAATAACTGCATATTTTATAGACAGCCTGGAAAAGTGTAAAAAATGTTGTCCTTGCAGTAGCCTTCTTAATAGACACTTTTGAAAGGTTGCTCTGATCTGAATCTTCTAGCCATCAGCAAGTTTGCCAATGACGCCAAGCTGTGTGGTTTGGTTGATACACTGGAGGGAAGGAATGACATCCAGAGGGACCTTGACACACTTGTGAAGTGGGCT